TTCTTGATCATTTTAAGCCTCCAATTTCTTCCCAATGAGACCTCCTTCTCATCTTGCTCCAATATATCTCTATTGATATAAGACATTTTAGAAAAATTAAAAAATAAATCCACGAGAGTTTATGCTCAAAATGACAAATATCATATTATTGTGCCTTTGATTTCACATTCATCTAGAATGATTCCCTCCTCTAAACAACTACAAGTTTGAGATCCAAGCTTCATCAATCAACGTGTATTTCCTCCTTGCTTGCAAAGTATTTGATTACATGTCCTTTTCATCTTGCACCATGTTAAATTACCACCAAGTCTAAAAGCTTAAAAGATTATAGTAACTTTAAACTTATTTCAATAGTTTACCACTTTACCTCCAATAATATCAGCTCCTCTTATATATTTGTGTGTATTATTAGAATTACAAAATGAAAAATAACTTTCATAACTAAATATCTCAAATAAATATTCATTAAACTCATCCCAAACTTAGTTATTGAATTTGAAAAACAAAAGACATGATCAAAATTGCATATCAAACCATTCACCATATATATAAAAAGAATATTTGAGAAGACACTACAATGGAGATAAGATTTTTTCATCGCAAGAGTCGAAAATAAAAAAAGAAAAAAAAAAAGAAAATCGAATTTGTAAAATAGTTATTTCAAGGAAGATTCTTTTAATTGACAAGCAAGATGACAACTACATAGTAGCTGTGTGATTGAATAATTTCTTTTCATATGGATGTGAATCCTATTTTAATATGAACTTTTGTAATTAAATTAAATAGTTCAAAATCGAGCCTAGAAGATCTTCAAGATTTTAGAGCTGAAATAAAGTAGTGCCGGACATGTCGACGGTTGACCGGCCGACGTGTGTTCCGGTAACGAACGACATGGGCGGTAATAATGTAGTTATTCGGCATGCAAGAAACGCATATGCCATAAATATATTTATTTCTTATAATTTTATAATGTAATGTGTAGGGGGAAAAAAAACAATTTAAATCATTATTACGTTTGTAACTAAAATATTACAAAAATATTTGAATATATTAATTAAAATTCTTTCATAAATCATTTCTTTTTTCCTCAATCCTATAAATACCCACCCATTCTCCCACACAAATCCCTCAAACTCCCTTCAAAAGCTTTAAAGAGAGACACCCAAATGGCTTCCAAAGCTACAGCCTCTCTTGCCTTCCTCCTCTCTCTCAATCTCCTCTTCTTTTCCCTTGTCTCAGCCTGCAGCGACTGCTATGTCCCTTCCCCTCCCATTCCCAACCCATGCCCTCCTACAGAGCCAAACCCTTCATCTGGTCATGGAAAGTGCCCTAGGGACACTCTTAAACTCGGCGTCTGTGCCAAGCTGCTCGGTGGCCTCCTTGACATTACTGTCGGCAAGCCCCCTGTGACGCCGTGCTGCAGCCTCATCGAAGGCCTTGTCGATCTCGAAGCTGCTGTCTGCCTTTGCACTGCCATTAAAGCCAATGTGTTGGGCAAAAACCTTAACATCCCTGTCTCCCTCAGCTTGCTCCTTAATGTCTGCAAGAAGAAGGTTCCCGAGGGATTCAAGTGCTGATTATAATCAATATCTATCATAATTCTTGAGTGTGGTTTGATGTATGTCGTTTGCGGTTCTCTCTGTCTTAGAATTTATTACAAATTATCATCGGTTTTTCTATTTTCTTCATGAGGTCTATTCCTCTTGGAGTTTGAAGGAATCAATAAATTAAAATTTTCTTATTTGTTAACTATAGTAGTGTTTATATTTTTGAATAGTCGTTGGTTGAAAATTTTGAGAAATTCTTAAACACAACTCTTTTAGGAATTAAAAGGAATGTAGGTTTAAAAAAAATTAAAAGTGGATTTAGTCGATATTCTAAACCGATGTCGCGGGCCATATAGGTTGAATTTGATTTTGAGAAAAAAATTTGGGCTCATAAATAATTAGTAACTTTAGCCTAAGCTAATCACGCTTCACTACTAGTTTGGTTGGATGAATTGTTTGAAGTATGAATGGCACACGTGGTGTCCTTGCACATTACATACCTTGTGATTGTCTAATGTTTGTTTATTATGTTTTGTTATGTTGTAAATAAGAGATATGACATGTTATGGGATATCGTGTTGACACGTTATGCCATTGATGATTATGTTGTGTTACGAAAATGTGGTACTATGTTATACACTACATTATGAAATGATATAATAGGGTTATGTTACCTATGAAATTAACGAAGATATATCTTGCATCACAAATACATATCAGAATTTTAAACTATGGAGGCCTCGTGCATACTGTATATTCACATGCATCAGGATACTTTCCAATTATGATTAGTTCGAACGTGTACACTATGATGTTATGATACGGTGTTATGTATATTATGATGTATGCTCACTTCCTTCCGTGGTATACCGATAGCATGAGTGTATGCTAGTCGAAGGCCATGTCCAGGGGGTACGTATACGAGCTTACCTAAGGGTTTGGTTGAAAGAATTGTTATGTATGATGACACGTGACCAGTGGCCCTGCACGTGTCATATGTGTGGTATGCTTTGATATGTGGTGTTATGTTATGTGTCACCATATGATATGCCAAATAATATTATGGCATAAATGAAATGTCATGTTATGTTACAATAAGCTATATTATGTTATGAGATGTCCTGATGTACTATGATATGTTATGTTAGGCCATGATATACTATGACATGTTATGATGTGTTTGAAATAACGAAATCTACCATGCACAATCCATGTGTCATGATTTAAAAGTTATGTTACAAATGAAATGATTTTATAACAGTTTTATGCCGGCATATTACCGATTGTAATATGTGATGAAAGAATAGGGGTTGTCTTGCATGATTTATTACACTACAGTGGAAAATACAGGGCCCTCATATATAATTGTATGTAGACATGAGATAATTACCATTTATAATAAATACAGACGCGTACACTATGAGACTTAAAGGACCATCCATCATGTTTACCATGATGCTACGACGAGTTGCTATTCTCATAGGGTGTCTAGTAACAGCTCAAAGAGTGATAGCCCAACCAGCAGGCCCTAGGAGTGTGCAAACCAGCCTCGTGGACCGTATGTAAAGAAGTAATACACATGTGCATGTGTTTGCAGACCCTGGGGGCTCGCATGTGTGGGTCGTGTGTAAAGAAGTACTACACATCCAATTTGCCCGGACTAGAAAGCCACCTAAAAGAAGACCGTTTTAAATGATAGGTCTCATCATTTTGTATGTGTTTGCATTCCCTAATGCCAATAGTAGGGTCACTAGCTAAATATTTCTTAAAATACTAAGTTTTGTGTTATTCTTATATTTCAGGTAAAGGCAAGACACTCATGTACGCATGACAGCGACGTCATTTTGAAGACCATAGAACTTGTGTTAGGATTGTTGCCTTTAATTTAATGTGTAGCTCTAGGTTAGATCAAGGCATCGTTTTAATATTTTCTTTGTTTATTTATATTTCACATTGGTTATTTTTCGTTATTTAGCTTTGAACTTTCCGTAGAACTTTCGATAGAACTCTCCGTTCTAGTTAAATCACTTCCATTTGTTCTAGCTCTTATACTGGAACTCTCAATTTCACTGTTATTTCCACCTTCACCACAAATATAACTAGAATCGTAAGTGTCACTGTAATTGTGACTAACACTTAAAAAGTAACTATCAATACAGATTTGAGATCGAAGATAACTGTCAATGCATCTATTAATGTGATTATTCCAACTATCATTTAAGGTTTAATGCGAACTTATAAGTTCATAACATTGCTTTATGAATTATTTTAAATGAATATTTCTGCATAAGAAGGTCTCGTCATGCATGTGGTAGGAGCTCTATTTCAGTAGAAAAATATGGTAGTTACACTCTTTTATGGATGACGTCATTGTAGTGGAGACCATAAGACCGAATCTAGGATAGTTGCATTTACCTATTTTGACAGGGTTAACCGTGAGGCTGAACATGATATATTTATAGCAAAATCTTAAAAGTTTATTAATTAATTAATTACCAAATAAAAGTACAATGGATATTTATCGGTAATAGCCTTAAAATAAGGGTTGAAGGTGACCCCACACTATGGTCCTACCATTATGCCATCCCCACAATTTGTCCCTCAGATCCAAATAGTTTCTAATTTATTAATTATTATTATTTTTACATAAATACAAAAGTTAATGAACTATCATTAAATTAAAAATAATTAAAAATTTGAAATTGAAGGAACAAGAAGAATAAAATCCTATTTTTGTTGAATTTCAAGATTTTGTCCATGTTTTTTCATTTACGCCCACTTATTTCCCGTCTTATGGTACTGTTGGCACAGAATTCTGTCATGATCGTCCACTTCACGAAAGAGCAACACAAACGACGTTGTTCTTATATATTAAGAACGGTTGTAAGAAAATGTAAATTAAAAGAGAGATTTCTTCACTTCCTTCCCTTACCTCCATCGAGAAATAGAATTAACTAACCCTAAGATAAAAGTGCACTATAACTAATACGAAAATTACACTAATTTGCGAAATCAGGTTCAATTATTAACTACTCTTATTGTTTACAAAATTGACTATAGATTCAAGTGATAGCATACTATTTATTCTATTCGATACAGGTAGAAAAAGAATCGAATTCGGTATGAACTCAAATAAATTAGTATCAAATCGAAATATGTCCACTACACCGACATGACATCCCTTGTGGAGCCACTTGTCATATACCATAGAAAGCTTTGGGTATTGATCATATCAATATTTGCAGCTATGGATGGACTCAAAAGAATGAAAAAAAATGGGTAAGAGTGAGAGAATAATATTCCCATTTCATTCCACAAACCTCCAAAACTTTGCCTAAACTTGTGAGCTTCTTCTTCAAACCCTGCCAGCTAAAATCCCAAGAGACCACATGGGTTGGCCAAGCTAGTGGCATCATATTCTTCTTTCCCTCAAACCCTATAAAACCCCATCAATTCTCCCTTCAATCCCACCACCAATCCCTCAAAATCCCTTCAAATTTCAAGGCGAAACCAAAAAAAAAGGCCCCAAAATGGCTTCCAAAGCTACAGCCTCTCTTGCTTTCCTCCTTTCTCTCAACCTCCTTTTCTTCTCCCTTGTCTCAGCCTGCAACAATTGCTACGTCCCAGCCCCACCCAAGCCAAAGCCATGCCCTCCACCATACCCAAAGCCCACCCCTTCATCTGGCTATGGAAAGTGCCCAAGGGATACCCTTAAACTCGGCGTCTGCGCCAAGCTGCTTGGCGGGCTCATCGATGTTACCATCGGCAAGCCCCCAGTGACCCCTTGCTGCAGTCTGATCGAAGGTCTTGCTGATCTTGAAGCTGCTGTCTGCCTTTGCACCGCCATTAAGGCCAGTGTTTTGGGCAACAACCTTAACATCCCTGTCTCTCTTAGCTTGCTCCTTAATGTCTGCAAGAAGAATGTTCCTAAGGGATTCCAGTGCTGATTTTATCTATTGTCTTTTCCCTTGGGAGTACTATGTTTTGTTATGACTTTGGATTTGGGGTTTGTTTTAATTTGCTTCGTGGTGTTATTTTGTTCTTGCATATCTCTTACCCCACTATCAAATATTATTCACTTTACTTCATTACGTATCATCGTTTGTCACACGATTTAGAATAAAAAATGATTCTACATCCTTGTAAGGAATGCTTCAGGTATTCTCCAAACGATGTGAAATCTCACAATCCATCTATTGGGGTCGACCACTTAGTGTCTAGCTCTGATATTACTGTAACAGCCTAAGCCCAATCCGTCGCTAGCAGATAATGTCTGCTTCAACCCGTTACATATCACTGTCAATCTCATAATTTTAAAACACATTTGATGGGGAGAAACTTCTACGCTCTTATAAGAAATAGTCTAATTCAGCCTCATAGTTTTAAAACGCATCTGTTAGGGAGAGACTTCTACACCTTTATAAGAAATGTTTTGTTCTTCTCTCCAACCGATGGGGGATCTCACAATTCATCCCTTGAGAGCCTAGCGTGCTCGCTAGCATACCGTTCGATGTATGGTTTTGATATCATAGTACCAACCCAAGTCCAAGTCTACCGCTAGTCGATATTGTACACTTTGGTCCGTTATATATCAGCGTCAACCTCACAATTTTAAAATATGTATACTCGAGAGAGGTTTTCACAAACTTAAAAAGAAAAGATCCGTTCATTATGAGATCTAAGAGATGTTTTTTTTTATTATTATTTTGGGGATTTAATATTTTATACATATACACATACATAAAAGCAATGAATTTGAAGGTCAACCCCTTTGATGATGGGTAAAATAAAGAAGTAGTTACATGTCGACAAGTGACAGATCGACGTGTAGTTTTGTGATGGAGGGCATGGCGGATGCCTTTACTCTGCATGCATGCATACGTGTCATTCTGGCGCTTAATGTGCACAGAATACCACGGATCCTAACTTTCTCAACTTCAGAGTTTTCATTTTACATTAAATTAATCAAAATATCGCTTCATTTATATTTTATTTTTAAATTTTTTTTATCTTTTAAATATTTTTAATATTTTGTAAAAAAAAAAAAAAAGTTAATTTTACCGGTTTAAGAGAATTAATATATTTTTTTTTAATTTTCACGGATATTTATTAAAACAAACTTTTAAAAATTCAAAAAAACTTTTTAAATAATTTTAAAATCTGATATTTTTGAAATAAAATATTTAGGTTAACGAGCTTTATTTTATTTGTGATAAGTTGCAAAGTTAGACTTTTCTATTTTTTAAATATATTGTCTAATTATTTCTTTAAGATTTAATGGGATTCGAGATGGGAAGAGAATGAGTAATCGATTTGAAATGGAGAATCCATCGTCTCGATTCCTTTTCTAAAGTTGAATAATTTTAGCGGGAATGATTTGCATTTGTTATTTGACCGTTAATGATTTGTATAAGTTAATATTCAATATAACTAGGAGCGTATATGAATAAGATTGAGTTAACTGGCAGAAATTTTTTGGACCAACCCAAAATTTTGTCGGGTTCATTTGATTGGTGATTCAAATGACCCGAACATGGTTTACAATCCAACTCAACCCAACTCTCTATTTTCGAGTTGGGTAGGGTAGATTAGGCTACTACCGTGTAACAACTCTCTATTTTGTTTGTAATTAAGAATTTTAAAATAATATGAAAAGTTGATATTATAGATTTTTATTTTAGCTGCTAATCATTCATACATATGGCCACATGCCTCCATGCCATACCTGAAGTGTATTGCATTATCCTGGATTTCCCGTGAACCTCTTTTGGCTTTTATTAAATAAACAACCTTACAAAATTAATAATTTTTTAATTTTTTTTTAATTTCGAACTCTAAGTAATGTAATCACGTAACACTTGAGTAAACGAATGGTACATGAATGAGCCGATACCATATTCGAATGAGAGCGATCCTGAAGATAAGATAACATTGAAATGTTTAAAAAAATTGAAGGTCGCTACTTATACCAACAAATTACACATCTCTTTTCGATGACTCAGTAATTCTATGTTGGGTGATCTTTTGAAAATTTTCTTATGATGCATGTGAGTGAGGACAAAGTATACTCGAAAAACTTATATTGATTTGTGGAAATAGTGTTCACTATTTAAAGCATCGTACCAGATGTAGATGTAGGAGAATGTTGAATTCGAATTCCAAATACTAATTTCATAAATTTAAGCATATACTAATTTGATAATGTGAAGATATGTTCTTAAAGATCTATTTTGTGCTTAAATGGGCAAATGAGTTAGCTTGGATTTATTTTCTTTGAACGTGTAGGTTAAGAAACTAAATATCTCATCGATTTTATTTTCTATTAAGGATTAGAATTAGAAATGCATGAAAGACGTACTTTTGCATGGACCACCATGGTTTCGACTACCGAAGTTATTTCTATGTTGTTCGATATTATGTCATGATATATTATATTATGATAAGCTATGTCATGTAATAAAACTATGTTATTTTGTGATTATGTCATGTTGTATAAAATCGTTATGAAACGATAATGTATGATGCATAAACTTTTATAGACCATATCAGGAAAGTTATTCGTTGTATTACATACTTTATAGGAATCATATAAGCATAATTTCAAGACTTATTATGTTATCAAAAAATGGAAGTTTATCTTGGTTCATAATAAGTCATGTGGACTGCATACACATTTGTGTGTCATGTATATCAGGATATCTCGATGAATATGAACACGTATCTTACGACTTATAATTTTCGACATTTATGTTCGTCATGATGTTATGCGGGTTCCTTCTCTCCATGGTATTTGGCAAGAACACGTTAGCAAGTGCTTGCCCGATAAGTCAAACCTAGGGGGTGCTCAAGCCCACCTAGTGGCCCATAATCACATGCGTGAGCCATGTGTAGAGAAGTGTTAAACATCTAATCTCGCCTCACCTCGAAAGTTGTTTAAAGTCATGGAAAGAGTTTGTTTTTATTATTATTAAAGTCATGGAAAGAGTTTGTTTTTATTATTATTATTAGAAGGCAAACATAGACTCGACAAGATTAAGGTAATGAAAATAACATCAGAAGGAAATAAAAAGTGAATGAACTCAAAAACACTCGAAACCTTGTGCTTTTTTTCCACCACAATTAATAAGGAGCAAAGTGAATGAAATTGGTATATGCACAAAACCATCGCCCAAGACGCTGGCCTTGATGGCGGCGCAAAGGCAGGCAGCGGCTTCATAGTCAGCAAGGCCTTCCATGAGGCTGCAACAAGGTGTTACAGGTGCTCCGCCCCCAGCAATCACTTTGAGCAAATCCCAGTCCAGCAACATTGCGCACATGCTTATCTTAATACCATCTTCACCACATTTTTCATCGGCGCCAGGAGACACCGGCGGAGTTAGAGGAGGAAGAACGGATTCTCCAGCCGGAGTTAGAGGTGGAAGAATGGGTGGTGGGTTGGAGGGTGAATCTGTAGCAGAAGGTGTTGTGATGAGCGTGGAGAAGAGAAGATTGAAGGAGAGGAAGAAGGCAAAAGCAGAGAATGAATAAGGTTTGGAACCCATAATCTCTCAATATTCTAATTTTTTGTTTTAGCTATCACACCTTTTATAGAAGAGACATTGGCCATACCATAGCTTAGGCTTTTATTGTTTATATATACAAATAAAATAATTATGATAGTGTTCTTGTTGGATTATGTTCGAATAAATAAAAATTTTATGAGTTTGGATTTGTTCATGTGTTCTTCCACAATGATATGATATTGAGTACCAATGGAGATGCTCACAATCTTCATTCGATATTTAAGAATTCTATTGTCATATTGTCCACTTTGAATATAAGCATTCATGCAAATTGAGATGTATTTCTTTATTTATAAACTCATGATCATTCTCTAAATTAGCGAATGTGAGACTCACTCTCAACCATCATCAACAACGTTAATTTTAATTAAAGGTTTGAAAATAAATAACCAAACTTTATTTCTTTTATGACTTAGTGATTATTTTCTTAAACTTTTTTTTACCATAGTTTTTATTTTTTTAAGTAAACATTTTGAAGTTTTACTGTTTCCATGTAAATTAAATTGAATAGTGAATGCAGTGTCGGGTCTTTTTGAAGTTAGTACCAAACTCAAGAAATGGGATTGGATTTGAGTATTACAATAATTTAAACCAATTAAAGCTTACTACCAAACTAATTATAATCCACCAAATTTCTCAATTCATGAATTCTCAATTCAACATTTTATAAATACTAAACCAAAATTTATATGTATTATTATCGATAAAATAAACTTGTATCTAAATCCTATTTAGACGTTTATATTAATATTTAATTAAAGTCGCAATTTAGGGGCTTTTTTAATTAATTTGTTTCTAAATTCTCCATCTATTCTTATGAAATTTTCTAGGATAACTTTTTTATTTATAAAATATAAAGTCTTCCATAGATATTGTGTGGGTTTGACTTTGTCAACGTTTATGCCCAACCCGTTGGACTTGGGCTTCGTTGGTTTGGATCCTAACTTTTTGGGCTGAGCTTTTTATGGCATTTGGGCTCAACTATTTGGATTTCGGTTTTCTTGGATTTGGACTCGATTTGGGCCTACTCCTTTGGGCTTTGGGCCCAAGAGAATTTGGGATGTATAGCAAAAAATGGAAGCCCAAACTGAAAAATGGCAAAATAAATAAATAAATAACCACGGTTAATTTTATCCAAATTCAGGTAAGCATGGTTTTGGAATTACACCGAGTTTTACCCTAACAGGTAGAATTAACCATTATTGTGATCTTAATTCGTTCATATACTCTTCTATAATTCGATTTCACTTGTCCCCAACTTCTACTTTGGTCCCCATCTTCTACTTTGCTCTTATATTATCTGTAATGTAGCATGTTCAAAATTTGGACTAAGATTAAAAATACAGGTTCGATACGAAATGACCTCGGTATTCTCCTACATCCCTACGAGATAATCAAATGGCCTTGACATTCTCCTACATCCCTACAACATAACCACATTATCTTGTCTTGAAACGTTTTTATGAATAAAAACTATCCCCACAGATCAACACGTACTCTTTTAACATGTTTTGTCCACAATCACATGTTTCCTAATAAAATTCTCAGAAGGTCAACCAACATAAGACTACTCGAAGCCAAGTATGCTCAACATAGGTTTACTCGGTGCTTTCTTAATCATAATTTCGTATCTTCAAATATCACTCGTATTCTGTCTCAATTTATTTATTTACTCTTCCTTTTGGTGGGGAAGAATGATAATATTGAATACTAATATATTTATGAAATTAGGAAATCAAGTGTTGAAAATGGATTGGATATGGATCGCACGAACTGGCAAGGATTTGTGGCAATTTAATTCAATTTTAGGTTAGTCATTTGTGTTCGGTGGTGGCATTAAAATATGACTAAGCTGTGACTGATTTGTTCTAATTAATTTCAGTCCTACAATTTAAAATAAATATGTGGAACATTATTACTTGGTAACATCATATCCTCTAACAATAACGTGTTAAATACGATTTAAAATAAATCACCACCACCACTCTTGTCATCTACTGCGATCGATCTATAATAAAAAATTTAAGTAGTTATCCCATAATGATTTTAGTCATATCCTTGGTTGCAGTTTGTCATACTCGAATGCGTGATTGCAGAGTATCACAACCTCACTACGTAGACAATAGGTTGTAAAGATCGAGATGAGATAAGACAAGTGTCATCCAATCATGTGAAGGTCGAGGTAAGACATGTGTCATGATACAAATGTAAAAGACGGTGAATCATCCTACACACCAAGAAGAGTGTGCATTAAAGTTAAGTTGAGGCATAAGCAAAGTAAGAGAGAATGAGGCAACACGAGTGTCAAAGACAAGCTCGAAGAGGATCGAGAAGGGCCCGAGCCATAACACCTTAGAAATTGGAGTTTGGATATAAGTTTCAAGTTAAATCTATCTGTATGAAAGATGAAAACTCACCAAATTTGGTGTCGATCGAATATCCAACGTATACTCCACAAGGCCATATGACCACTCTCCACAATGACGTATACTCCAAAAAAGATTAGAAATGCCTTAAAATATACTATATGAGGAGGTATAATGTTAGCTCTCTACTACCCTTAGGCTTTGTGGCCTAAGTGAGCTACCTATGACACATACGTGTATTAGGAGTGTCGGTGAGCGTCAAGAGACAATCATCTCGAGTGTCTTCTTTTGAAATGGGTACTTCGAGAACAGTATCGAACAATACAAGTATGTTGACATTGTACCTCAATCGACGTGTCAGAAGTAAATACAATATGTATCCATTGACGAATGTGCGAGAGTATGGAAATTTAAACTTTAAAACTCAAAATAAAAAGTATATATTGATCAATGGAGAGTCACGCTCGTGTGCTCTCGTTTAAATATAGTTTATATATAGGTTTGTAATATATTTCCTATGGAGGTAATAGAAGGAAACATAATGAATCCCACTCCTCAAAAACACATAAAAAAAACAACTATCATTTATGGATAGAAAGTGTAAGGATTTTCAGATCCCCAACTGGGTCTGCACCTGCAAGATGGTGTTGGCTGAGTCCCTCAGCCGTCCCGACTCCTCGTCGGTTAGATGCACATTGGTGATCCCCAATACGCCGCCCCTACCGAGCTGCGCGGGCAGGCTGAGAAACATCTCGCCACCATTGATGCCGTAGAACCCTTTTGCAAGGACAGAGACAGGGTGGATCCTCCTCTGGTCACGGAGGAGCGACCGGGCGAGGCTTGCCACCGAGTAGCCGATCGCCCATGATGTGTAGCCCTTCAAGTTTATCACTTCATAAGCCCCGCCTATGACCTCTTTGTGAATGCTCTCTAATGTTTCCTTCTCGTAGGTGATTTGTTGATTCTGTAGAAAGCTCAGTATTGGCACTCCGCCCACGCTTATGCTTGACCATAGCGCCACCGAGCTGTCGCCGTGCTCTCCCACTATGTATGCCTTCAAACAAATATAGCCTCTTTTTAGCTTCATAATATAAATATCTACGGCTACTTTCTCGAAAACCATCTATGTAGCTGTGTTCACCGGACCTTACGATCTAAACTTGCATGCGAGCACTATATTAGAACAGTTTGAAGCATTAGGTGAAAAAAAACTAAATTAAGATCCGTGTCACGAGGAATGTTCATATTTGATGAAATTGACCCACATATTTAGTAGAAAACGGTCCCAAACCATTTTCATAAGGGTACCATTGACGTTTTTTTTCATTTCTCGTTTTGATCTTTTACAATACTTACTAGAGGAGGTACTTAAACTAAAATGAGGACAAAAAAAAAAGAAAAAAAAAAAAAAGTCTATAACCATGTTTTGTGTCAAATAGATTTAAAAAAGTGTCAAATGGATCTCCAAACAGTACCAAATTGAAAAATTGAAAGTTTAATTTTAGAATACAAAATTGAAATTTCAATTATATATTTAAAACCTAAGATTTAGGACTGAGAGCTAAAATATCCATTAAATATTATTTGAAGTTTAGTACATAGAAATTTAAAGGTTTGTAAATTATTGTGGTTTAGTTGCCAGAAATTAGGAAATTCTCTTCCAAATTTCAGGGAAGTTGGCCGGAAAGATTGAATTCCTGTTCTTCAATTTTGTCCATCCAATTTCTTAGCTTATTTGACACCAATCAATAAAAAAGGAAAGAATCGAAAAGTTCCAAACCCTAAATTGAAATTTCTTCCGTAACAGAAAATTAACTATAAGCACTAATCGATTAAAGAAGGTAGAAGAAATGTCGATCAGAAAACTGACCTGAACATCCTGAGCGTTGACGTCGAGATGATCAGCGATGAGAAACCGAAACCTAGACGAGTCCAAATTCGTTCCCGATCCAATCACTCGATTCGACGGAAAACCAGAGAGCTTCCAAGCAACATAAGTCAAAACATCCACCGGATTCGAAACGATCAGCAGAATCGTCTCGGGAGAGTACTGAACAAGCGGCGGCACGATCTTCTGAAACAGAGCAACATTCCTCTGCAGCAGATTCAACCTAGATTCACCAGCGATCTGACGAGCGCCAGCAGTGACGATGCAGAGATCGGACTCGGCAGTAACAGAGTAATCGGTAGAGGCGCTGATTTTAGTGCGTGGGAGGAAGGCAGCGGCGTGTTGGAGATCGAGCATTTCGCCTCGGAGTTTGTCAGGCTTGGCGTCGACAAGGACGAGTTCATCGGCAAGATCTTGAGTGAGGATGGTCTGAGCAATTGCCATGCCGACATTTCCAGCGCCGATGACGGAGATTTTGGTGTTGCGCTTAGAGGTAGACGGCGGAGAGGCGTCGCTTACGGGCTTGAAGAAAGCCTGCGAAATATTAAGGCCGCCTGGACCTAAGGAAGATGCTGATGAACTCTTCTCCATTGTGAAACGTTTTGGAGATTGTGATTGGCCGTGATGTTTTTCACAGAGAACTTTACGGATTTAAAGAAACGATTGGTTTAAAGGGAAGAACACGAACAAGAAAGTTAGGAAAGTAAGAACAGTTTTCAGAGATTTT